TAACTCTTTCATCAGTTCTAGGTGCTGTTTTTGATCGATAGTCCGATATCTTTTTCCCCAACCACCCTAAAATTAAAAATGTTTTCGTTTACAAACGCATATTAGACTGCAGTTAATGATGTCTCTTGATCATACCTTGTAACGGGATAACCGCAAGAAATGCAGTTACTCCAATTATTGATGATACACCTATTTCTTGCCACAGAAAATAGGTGACCAAAATAGTTTGCAAGGGCCCGACCCATAAATATTGAACAAAAAGAAATGCTATGTCGAATCGGTTTACGTCATTTGATATCAAATTTATCACTTGGCCGATTGTAGTTTCACATAGAGAAGCTCTACTTAATTTTAATGCCTATATATATATATATATTTATTTATTTAAATAATAATATTAATAGATAAGTAAAAATACATTTTCTAAAACTTTTAATGATTAGTAACATCAAGAATGCTGTTAACATAAAGTAATTTATTCAATGATTGTATATAATAATATGTAACATACATAATATATATATAAGTTTATTTCATCGCAATTCCTTTTATTTCGAGTAACATTGTAATGTTTGTTTAAAAATCTTAACAATAAAAATAATTAAGCATCTCTTAATATTTATTCCCATAAAATTCTTATCGTATGCTTTTTATAGTTTTCCATACATAGCTGTTAATAATTTTATAAAATAATATGAAGATGCTATTTTCAAAACTCAATTTTTTTGATATTCGACTTATGTCATGAATGATTTTATTTTGATATTAATAGATTTTAGATGCAATTTCATATTTTAATTGTTTATTAGTTTCTGATAAGTGAATTCACCTTTTTATAAATCATTGAACAGCAAGCAACTCGAATCTTCATTCCGAGGTGTCCCATTCCCAATTGCGAATGATGAAACAATATTATATTAGCTAACATGTTTAGCAACAAACCAGATGCATATATGTATGCATATTTCGAGTCTTTGATATTTGACCCGTCGTGGATGAAATATGTTAACAGCCCTCCAATGAGTAAAGGTTGAGTCATTCTATAAATAGTTTACATATAAGTAAAAATTAAGAGACAATTTTTACGATTTTTTGATTATTTCACCTTAATACTATTTCAGTGAACAGTACTACTATTCCATTAAATAAGATTTTTCCACTAAACATTCGAAATATAACTCTTGATAATCTAGGTTCCCGATTTGTAATTTTTGCATCAGCGATCTCGATTTTCCATTTTCTTTCATCGGAAAATTGTAAGAGAGAATTATGTTTAACTTAGTATAAAATAGATTTTAATTTTATAAGCTTACTCTTCGAGTTTTAACCCTAACAATGAAGATTTGTCATCATCAAGTGGAGCGTACATATCATTGTTTTCCAAACATTTCTTTTGTCCTGTTTTAAATAGGTTTAAAATCCAGCTGTATCATAAACAATAAATAAATTAGTAACATGTACTAAAATTAAATATCTATTTTTGAGTTAAAATTTAAGGCTGCATACGAATTGCGTCTTGGGTTTTCTAAACGACTTTACTATTTGCAACTCGATTATCTGATAATATACCTTCGATAACCTCAATCAACAACCAATATGACTATACGAGCACTTATGAAATAAATGTAATCGGTTAGTATGTCTTTTGATTCCGTCTAGTTGACAATTGTATGCTGTTTTATTTCAATTTTAAAATACGAGTTTAAATATATGTGAGGTGATGATTAGTAAAAAAAATATAACACTAATTTTTATTGACGATTTTGTTTTTATATACGGTTGAAAAATGATATACAACGTTCCTAAAAAAAAAACATGTAAGTTATATGCTAATTTAAACGTAAAATTAAATATTGGAACATCTTTCTTAAGTCAACCATGAAAACAATTTTCTAGAAATATTAGACAGATAAAAATTAAGCAATAACTTAAAACGGAAAGCAATAGACGAGAAGCTTTTAAAATTTATTTATAAGGAATTACCAAATGACGTATTGACATTGACCAGTTATGGTTTATCTTTAAGAGGAGGTTGTGACCGAATATGTTGTCTGGGTCTTACACACGCAGGGCATAGTAAAATTTGTTCACCAGTTTCAGCAATGTGCTTTATGTTTTGTTATTAGAGTGAATTGACCAATTATCATACTTTTAGGTAAAAAAGTTATCTGTGTTCTCTTATTGGTTTTTTACGATATTTTAATTTATAAAGGACTCATTATCTTTTTTGAAATGTTTATATTTTTCAACTCATAACTCACTTAAAAATTAAAATATCATAAAAAAACCACCGAGAGTGAACAGATAACTTTTTTACCAAAATGTATGATAATAGGTTAATTCACTATAATATCAAAACTAAAAGTAAGCTATTGAAACTCGTTAACAAAAATTTACTATGTTGTACGTATATAAACGGAGACCACATAGGTGGGTGCGACGTCCTCTTAATTCGTAAAAACATACAGCTCACCCCAGCATCTGTGATTCCTAAGCTGCCAAATAATGTAATAGATTTGTATTTAATCATTGAAAGAAAACATCAAAAGTAACCGAGATGAAAAGTTACTATTAGTTTACGACTATAAAAATAATATATTATTTTTTTCAACAATAAATAATTTCAAATTCTTAAGTCAAGTTAACACAATATATATTAACAGGACTTTTAAAAGAGGTCCTAAGTTATTTGCATAATTTTCAAATTCCATGGTTTATCAAATAAAAATTACACACAGTTAGTTCTTTTTTTATAAATTGACAAAAATATAGAAACTTACAAGAAAGCATTTCTTTATCTCAATAAAAAATGTATAAAAAACGATTAATTTTTTTACCATAATGTTATTTGATTATTTGGAAAAATCAATTTATTTGGTAGTGTTATTTGTTTGGCCATCTATCAAATTAAAAAGATGCCGATTCCAATTAGGCCAGAGATGGTTAAGAAAAATTCAAGCTCTGGGTTTGAGTAATGAATATGAGCTAAATTCAGGAATAAGTAATTACCTAAAAGTGTTTTATGTTTCCTTTTATTAAAATCTGAAAATGTAGAAAATTGTTTTACCGATGATATAGAATCAATTTTACCACAATATGAAAAAGTAGAAACATTTACATATTATGTTTTAAAGACGTATATAATTTCCGATTGTAAATTTCCTCCTTTTTTATGGGCAACGTATTCAAACTCAATTACACAAACAACAAATACCTGTGTAGCTTTCCATTCAAAATTTAACAGTATGTTTTGTTCTGCTCATTTAAATATCTACAAACTCATTAAAGTGTACTTAAAAACGTACAAAATACACTTACATAAAAATTTGCAGTAGTAGTCAAATAAAAAAACATAAGATGTAAAATATGTGAAAAACAAGAATTTTTAAGAAAAGAAATAATTAATTATAACCTGACAAAATAACACGTTTTGATCTTGTCAAAACTATATTTTTCAAATTTTTACCGAGTCATTAATAATATTATGATAGTATATAATATATATATATATAGGTATAACTCATGTTTTTTAATACTTTTTTTACGTATTCTTTAATTTTTATATTTAATGACAAAAACAATATTTTTTGATGTACATGATAACGAAATGATAAAAAAAATATTTTTAACATACCTTTAACAATATAATATTATATATAATATTTATTTAATGTTGAAAATAGTAGTCCTAAATCTGTATAAAATTAGAAAGAAAATATGTATTTACATATGACATTGAAAATTAGTATAAATGTTACATATTATCGGGACGTAATTAGTATAGTAAAGTTGTTTAATATTATCAGAAAGCATTTTGTATGAAAATAGGATCTTGATATCTATGCAATTCGTTTGCACCGGTATTTTATTTCAAGTGATTCCCATAAGAAACTAGTGTTTGAAAAAGTAAAGCACTTTTACAATTTTATTTTATTTTTTAATTCTAATGTCAATAAATTAGCACCTAAATGTAAGAATTTCGAAGATATTTGCTCTAGCTCGAGGATTTGGTAGTTGTTTTTCTTTATTTCCCGCAGCGTCCATTTTTTACCTAAAACATAATTTGCATTAATAATAAACTAAATTAGGTAATTTAATGTGATATATATATATATAAAGAAAACGTTTTCAAAATCATTTATTCACTGCAAAAATAATTATATTATGATAATTTTTTATTGTACAATTTTTTTTTACTACAAAAACAAGTTCAATAAGTATATAACCTACTTTTATAGTAAAACTAAAAAACTAATTGGTCACTAATATCAGTGCACATCAAATATTTAGTGTTTATACAAAAATATTACTAATAATATTTATTAACCTTTATAATTTGTTTTTAAAAACTTGGTCAATGAATTAAAGTTATTAAATTCGGTCAATAATGAAACAATTAAGTTTATCTTTTTCAGTTTGAAAATAGTTAAGAAATTTTAAATATTACAAATTTGTTTATTCTTATTTCACATATTTTTAAATCTTAGTTAAATTTTAGTAATATAAAGTAACACTTAATAAGTACAATAAATTATATAAAACAAATAATCGAGAAAACCCATGCATGTAATGACAATATAGAAAAAACAACAATGTGTCATGACCGTTAATTTATTTTACTTTATCTCATTTGATTTGTTACTAAGACATTTTTTTACATGTACCAAATTTAATATTGTTTTTTATATTTTTATTATGTTAGTTAATATTTAAAGCGACAATAAGTATGTTTGTGTCATAAGTAGTTCCTGAATATTTTTGAAATTTTACCCTTTCTGATAAGCTTAATTATTCCATTAAATGTTGATTAGTGTCCTAACTAATTTTACCATAGAAACATTTTTTTTTCAGCCTTAATTTTTCATAAATAATAATTCAAAATTAGAATAGAACAGGTTTTAATAAGTTGGGTGATTTAACTACATATTAGTACATTGCTTTAGTTCATATATTGAAAAAATGATAGTAGTAATAACTTATTATAATTTGCGTGTTCTATATAAATATTCATTTTTTAATTTTAATTGAATTTAATTAAAACATGTATTATAGTAATAATTTATTATTAATATTATAAATTTAAAAAAATTTAATAATTATGTTTATTACAATACTTAAAAAATTTAATCATATGTCACCGACAATAAATTGGCAGATTCCTCAACACAGGATTTTGGTATATCATTGTAAGTTTTAATATTTAAAGTGAATTATTAAAATGATGATTTAATTATCATTTTCAAAAATTCTTAGTTAAATACTAACACATAAGGAAATTAATGAAAAATCATAAATACCTTTCAAATTACTATCTAAGTTATTCGATAATCGATTCTTAAAATCCCATAAGATGTTTAGCGTATTTTATAAACGATGATCAAAATAGATATATTTCAGATTTATGTCATTTTTTACATGCAGTTAACGAATTTTTTTTTTCAATCGACAATAATGTAATATTTGTGAATTTTTTGCACCTGAAAATTAATTAAAATAATAAAAATCATAGCCTACGTACCATATGTGATAAATGATTATGAACAATTTAAGTTGATTCGTTTGTTACACTGTTTAATTGCTTGTATATTAATTAAAAGAGATTTATAAAATACAACAAAATTATTCACAATGTTGAAAAAATATTGTCTTAAAGCCCAATATACTGTAATTATTTAAATACATAATTTAAAATAATCTTAATAAATGATATTTTTTTTTAAATATAATAACATTATTAAGTTGTTATTTAAAATAAAAATGTGTATTTTAATGGCACAATGAAAAATACTGTTATACATGTTATACTAGATGATAAACACTACTGAAGATTTTGCTTGTTATCTAATTTAAAATTAAGCACCTCCTGTGAGTAGAAATGATACAACATAGAACTTCTCTAGGTCGCTAGGTCGCTGATAATATAGTGGTTTAATGAATGATTAATATGAAATGTATACTAATTAACTTATAACAATGCTTTTTATATTATAATTGACATTATGTACTTATATTAAATTTAGACTTATAGCATTTTCATTGCTTATAAGTTATAACTTTAGTTTTTGTACGCCAACACAAGTCATGTATTTATTTGAATTATTTAGGCTTAAATATTTTTATTAAAATGCACCAAAATATTTATTACGGTAGTTTTTTTAATAAATTAAAATTACGCATATAGTTAAATACTAATTTGTAGAAAATTTTTATAATTATTTTATTCTTCTACTGATATAATTCCAATTTCCGAAGTCATATAAGTACTATAACTATATATTTTAACAAGTACACTTACATAAAAATTTACAATAAATACAGATCAAAATTTATTTTCACTTTATTATGTTTAGGTATTTGATACTTTATTTGTACATAAAGATAAATTAATTCATAATTTACCAACTTAATCGAATTACTTCAAAAGAATAGATGAAATTAATTACCAACTCAAAATAAAATAGACCAAAGTTCAAATTCAAATATCAAAAACCATAACAAAACGAATTATCTAAACAAAAATCAACAATTTATCCATATTAATAAAATATATTGTTTGTGTGTGTGAGTGAGTAAGCTATCTACAGCTAAGTCTATCGTATTCATAGTTCTAAAATTTGATACGTGAATTAACCTATGTCAAAGAAAACTAGCCTTGAATTCAAATTATTAATTTTTTTTTTATACCAAAAAGAGTTCGTCCGAGTTGACTCACAAAAAATTATTGTTTTTTTTCTGTATTAGGTTGCCATTGGTTACAAAAAATTAAATAACGATAATAATTAGATATAATTTTAGATTTATATTTTATATTTATTAAAACAAACTTAAAATCCATCTTTAAAATCTCTGCAGTCTTCATTTAATATATTTTAATCAATGTGTATTCTGTATATATTAATGAATTATTTTACAAATTTTAAGATG